GTGGTGTTGGTGGTGGTGGTGGTGGTTGTGGTGGTGGCGGTTTCGGTGCCGTTTTGGTTTTCATATTAGTCATCGTAAATTCTCAGGTGTACTAGCATCTGACGGTTCGTAATTAAATGCAAACTGGAAGGGCTGTTTGAGGCGCGGCTGGCTGGCAGGGAGGAGACACGCTCAGCTCTTTCATTAAATCGAGAGTGCGGTAAACACGTCTGATGTGCTATACACGCAACCGTCTCCCTATTGAGGAGCTCTTCACTTGTGTTTTTGAGGTAAGACCAGACGCCGGCACACGGTTTGGGTTACTTCGTGACTACAATTACTGATCCTGCATACTGATAGGCCCAACCGGCAGCCCGGCCTTCTTGCTGCATTGGCTGCATCGGATCGTCATTTGTAGGAGACATTCTTTGCCGTGGCCTCATTGTGGAATATGGGCAGGGACAGATCTTTTTTCCGTTGACTGTTCTGACACGAGCACGCAGCGGCATTGAGGAGTAACTACGTCCGCTTTTATAACTTGACTCATTCGTCGGGGCCCAACCACAAATTCAAGTTTGATGAAAGCAAGAAATCTTGCTAGATACGACAACGGCGTGATTTGCGAACTGCCCGAGTCCTCAGTCATTCAACGAACGCAACTATCTCCCCTCTACGTGTTCGGCGTTGCGGTTTTGCACAGGCAATATAGTTATTAGCGAGGAGATCGTGTGCATGACCACTGTTGCTGGTGTTAATTTCAGCCAGCCCCCGAGAAATGTCCCTGACGCTTATGCCGAACTGCTGGAGGAGCTCAGATTATTCTCAACGCGGCCGACTGCTCTCATCGTTGGAGATTTTAATGCACCTCACATCGACTGGAGCTCGGCCTCAGCTGACTGCTCTGACGCAGCATTTGACTAGCAGCTACTGCGTACCTCCGACAACCTGCTTCTCACACAACACGTAATGTTTCCAACGAGAGTTCGAGAGGGCCAACAGATGAAATGCCTCGATCTTGTGTTCACAAAGTCGTCTGACAACATCGACGTTGTGAATTGCCTCCCGCCGTTGGGTCAGAGTGACCATGTAGTGCTCATGTGGGAATACACATTATTCTCTCTGCCTGCGCAACCGCTCTATTCCCGACCTAATATTTGGCGCGGCGATTTCGAACAGATGAAAAATGTTCTTAGTCCTATCTACTAGGCATCCACTCTTTCCGGCGATGTCGAAGAGGCTTGGTGTCAGTTCAAGGCGTTAGTCCACAACCTCATCTCCAACCACTGCCCAATCATGCGCAGAAGACTAACAAATAGACCTCGCTGGTTGACTGCATCCTTAAAGAAGGAAGTTAGCAAGAAGAGGAAGCTATGGAAAAGATCGCTGACGGATCGTACGCGAGAATCCCTAAGAAGTTATAAGTTACAGAGAAATCGGGTCAAAATTCCCATCGCCAGAGATAGGAATGCTTTTGAAAAGAATCTTTTGGACCGTGCCATGATTAATCCAAAAATCCTTTACAGCTACATAAGACAGAGCACACGGAACAAAGATCCTGTCCCACAGCAGCGAAGTACGAATGGTGTGGAAATCTCCGATGACAAGGATAAGGCTGAACATCTCTCTCAGTTCTTCCGATCAGTCGTGACATGTGAACCAGATTTTTTCTCCCCCATTTGTGAAGACGAAGAAACGCCTACCCTCGAAGCCGTCTTCTTCACTGAAACAATTGTTCGGAATGAGTTACTAAACCTAAAAGAATCGACCTCCCCAGACCCTGATGCAATCCCGGCCAAGCTGCTGAAGGAGCTAGCTCCCGAAATGTCCAAGCCGTTAGCCTTGATCTTTCAAACGTCATTCGTTAGTGGATGCCTGCCCTCTGACTGGAAGTCCGCTACCATCACTCCGCTTTTTAAGGGTGGAAGTCGTGCGTCTGCGAATAACTACAGGCCAGTGAGTCTTACCTCCATCTGTTGCAAAATAATGGAGAAGATCATTAAGAAGGCCTTGGTGCAGTTCCTCGAGCAGTACCATCTCCTTTCCGATGCCCAACACGGCTTTCGAAGTGGTAGGTCCTGCCTCACGAATCTGCTCTTTACGCTTGAACGATGGACCAAAGCACGTGATGAAGGCAATGTGGCGCACGCCATCTATATCGACTTCAAAAAGGCTTTCGACATCGTTCCTCACCAAGGTCTCTTGTACAAACTGCGCAACGCTGGAATTCGTGGACGCCTTCTTGTATGCATCCAGAGCTTTTTGGCTGGACGGTCCCAAAGAGTGCAGGTCGGGCGTCAACAGTCCTCAGATGTAAGCGTGGTGAGTGGCGTCCCACTGGGCTCAGTCTTAGGTCCCAAGTTATTTCTCGTTTTCATAAATGACTGCGTCAAGGACCTAGACTGTGATGCCATCCTGTTTGCCGACGACATAAAATGGGGGAAAGTTATTTACAATGCGGCAGACGCAGACCATCTGCAAGCAAACTTGAACAGGCTCGAAGACTGGTCGAAGCGCTGGCTTATGCCCTTCTATATAAGCAAGTGTAACTTTCTTCAATTCGGCGGCTTCAGAGCCCCCAGCCCCAGGACCTACTTTCTACACGGCACAGCACTGCAGCAGGTTGACAGCAGAAGGACCTGGGTGTATGGATTACATCTTCACTCAAACCAACACTGCATTGCGGGAAGGCGGCTAAATCGGCTACGGCCACATTGCAACTCAATAGGCGAGCATTTATGGGATTTGACCCTGACTGCTTTTCCAAAATATTTGGCACCTTCGTGCGACCTCATCTAGAATACGCCATACAGGCGTGGAGACCCTGGACTGCCAAGGATTATACCGTCTTGGAGAAGGTCCAGAGACGGGCGACCAAAATGACACAAAATCTGGGAGCACTGCCCTATGAAACCAGACTGTCAATCCTCAACCTGTTTCCCCTTTCCTACAGGCAATTACGTGGTGACCTCATACTAACATTTCGCATCATCAACGGCCTAAACTGTTGTTTAGATCCCACTGATTATTTCACCCAAGCTAACACGCCCACTTTGCGCGGTCATCCCCTAAAACTACGCGCAGGGAAATCAAGAATCAATGGACGGAAGTTCTTTTTCAGTAACAGAGTGGTTGCAGCGTGGAATGCCCTACCTACCGATGTGGTTAGCTCCCCCTGTGTGAATTCCTTCAAGTGTGGACTTGACATGCATCAAGCTTTACAATTACCACCCTCACATTCACTAACATAACCGGTACTACTTTATATATGCTTATACTACTTGTAATTAGTAAGTAACCGTTAATGATTACTCTTTTTCGACTAGCTGTCAGCTGTCCCCGAGTACAAAAAATCCATTTTCAACTTCCCACTTATTCATGCTTATCTCCGACGACTTGTAACCAATAGAGAGTTCAAAGGTGCTTCCCTATATTTCCCTTAATAAACTGATACTGATACTGATACTGACTGCTCTGTCATACCCCATATTAATTTACTTCCTATATCTTGTATTACGAACTTTCTTGAGGCTTAATGACGAGCACTATGAGCGTAACTCGATGCAATTCGAACGTGTCCTCTGACCGACACTAATGGCGCCAATCATCACAACGATCATGTCGGCATCTTTGCCTGGGGAGGCCATGATGCAGGCACACTTTCCTCGCGAAGCAAAAAGGCATTACCGTATTTTAAAGTACGCATGCGTTTAGTTCCGCGCATCCGATTATGAGAACGATGAAGTTGTGTAGGAAAGAATTTGGTGGTGGTGGCGTTCACGGCGACTGTTGTGGACGTGGTAGCAGTTTTGTCGTTGATAATGTTCAGAAAAATGTTGCTTGGTGTGTTGAGGATTATAATGGTGGTTTCAATGGCGTTGGATCTTTCGCTGATTTATACGGTAAGGGTGGACACATTTGTGATATTTGTTGATGGGCAAGAGGCGGTGGTCCAAGTGCTTATAATTTAGTGGAAAGAACAACGCTGATTTTATGGATATTTGATGTAACAACGCCGTATCTGTCAGCTTTAATTTTGCTGTTCCTGGGAGTTGTGATGACCTTGGTGATGAAAAATGGTTTAGCAGGGATAGTAAAAATTTAACTGGGATTTAAACGAGGACGACGGTCAGGTTGGGAACGGTGGCAGGGATGATGATGATGATGACGATGACGACGAAGACGAAGATGATGCCGAGGATGGTGATGATTATGAAGAATATGATGGTGATGAGGATGATGATGATGACGACGAGGAAGACACCGACGACGACGACGACGACGACGACGACGACGACGACGACGACGACGACGACGACGACGACGAAGACGATGATGATGATGATGAAGAAGAAGAAGAAGAAGATGATGATGATGATGATGATGATGATGGAGGCAACGATTATCATAAAATTCATGATAAGATCTCAGGCGGTATAGCATCTGACGGCGCGTAATCAAGTGTCAACTGGAAGGGCAGTTGGAGGCGCGGCTGGATAACAGATAGAAAACATGCTCAGCTCTGTCATCTAGACGCGAGTGCGGTAAACACGTCTGATGTGGTATATACGCAACCGTCTCCCGTGAGAGGAGCTGTTCACATGTGTTGCTGAGGTAAGACCAGATGCCGGCACACGGTTTGGGCTACTTCGTGAATACAATTACTAATCCTGGATACTGATAGGCCCGACCGGCAACCCGGCCTTCTTGCTGCATTGGCTGCAGCAGGCTGACTTTTTTAGGAGGCATTCCTCGACGTTGCCCAAATTCCTTTCAGTTTATTTGAGGGAAATTCAGGTTTCGCACTTCTGGACTACCTATCTGTTACGGAAGAGAAGTATATCAAAGCGTCGGATAACGGAAACTAGACAGGTAAACGAATTACCTCGAGTGTTGTAAACACTTACACTACTGAGTACGTCGTACAGTAATCAGTCCATGGATAGTTGTGTTTTAGATACATTCTTACGTATTCATTTATCTGGTGGAACCGAAGTGAACGTCGGAATTCGTGTGCAATGAATGTTGAACAATTGGTAACGGCAAGAAACTTCTGGTGTCGTTTATCTGATCTGGTGCAGTTGCGGACAAAGCAAGAACTTCGGAGAAACCGAAAGACAGCTCAGAAGGCGTATGGCCAGGCACGCTACAGCGTTGCGGAGAAATGACGTCAGCTCTCCAGTTGCGGCTCATACGGCGAGATGCGGCCACACATTCGAATTCGACGAGGCCGAAATTCTCACTATGGGTGACAACCGCGTGCGTCGGGTCCTGCTTGGGTCATGGGTTACTGACCTCCAGCAAATTAACAAGTGCAATGAACTTCCCCTTCCTAACTTGGTGCTGAGGATTTGCCTAGGCGGCGTAATTAGCGACGCGGGAAGCGCACAGTTGAACACTTTTGCCAACGACAGCGTTGGTGCGTCAGATTGTCAAGCATTTGTCACACCATCATTCAACTCACGTGATGAATTGGCAGCAATTAATGACGCAAATTTCGGCCATCAACCAGACTTCACACCACCTGCAACGATACCTGATGAAGAGGGGAGCCGTGAGCATTCATAGGTATGCGGTAGCATGGCGACTGCATCAAATAAATACTACAACCCCTTGTGCATGTACCACACGTATCTGTTTATGTCTCTGATGTTGGGTTCGAGCAAGAATCAGAAACTTCAGGCTAATAAAGCTCATGCACCAGCGATCGTGTCTCCTTCTCCACGATTACCTTGCAC